GCGAGATCAGGATTGTCTCACGAGGCTAAAATTATCAGCCCCTCAAAGACCAGACAAGTTATATCCTCATAAAATAGTGTAGAGATTGACAGATCTTATTGGCTGTTTCTTCAATCAGCATTGACCAATGGATGCATGTGTTCACCGGTTCATAAGTGCATTCAGCAGCCACGCCTTAAGGTCATGTAAAGTGTCTTTTTATTTGCTATCCATTGTTGTTTTGTTTGATTTGTTGTTTTTGTTTCAATTGAGACTTGTGTAACATTTTTGTAAGTGTGTTTTTTTTAAATCATGTTAATCGAAGAAGAAAAAGAAACATCAGCTTTAAGAATTGACCCAAAAATATCAGTGATCGGTTAGACTTTAGTGAAAAACAATCTGTATCAGCCTTAAAAAAAACCTCTGCACTGGTCAATCTCTGAAATATAGGTATATCCTCCTTAAAGTTTACAGAGTGGCTGAACCTGCTGAATAAATAGGAGTTTTGTTTAATACTAGAGAAGCGCTATCTTTGCAAAGGAAATGATGAAAACAAAAGTCTCATTTATACAGTTGAACTGACCCCTTTCAAGACCCAATGATGGTGCAGTAAAATGAGTAGCATAAAAATGAGTTTGACACCCCTGGTCTAGGGAGTAGGGCGTAACACAGAAACCAATTAATTAAAAACAAGCACAAGAGGTACATATTTAAACAAGATGAGTTTTTTTTTTTAGAATACTTAACAGAAAAAAAGAGAATCAGTTATTGTCAGACGAAAGAATAAACAAAGCCACTGCAATGCACAGGACGTTTGTCTCTCAATGGTATGATACTCCTACGGTACTCTGCTTTAGAGGTGGCATTTTATGGGCAGGAAGGGGCTACGAGTTGCAGCTATTAACATGGAAATCCTTTTTTTTTTATCTCTTTCCTCCAGAATATTCTCGCTACTTACACTCCCACCTGGATATTCCTGTAGCGGAGTACAACGTGGACCAGGACCTACCAGGCAACTTTAAGAATCACTGGGCCAAGAACCTGCCGTTTTTGATAGAAGACTATGAGGAACAGCCTGGCCTGCAGCCACATATCAAGTAGGTCTCCTGTATGAAAGAAGAATAGCTTGTACAGTTGATCTATTTTTATTAATGTGAATATAAAACAGGAAAACGAAATCTTTTTGATCAGTAAAAACTATTAATGAATAAATTATCAATCATGCATGATGCTTAGATTCTTCAAATCTGAAAAACATGGGTGACACAAAGCTGACAAGTTTTAGAAAATGACAGAGTAACACTTTACGATGCATTCAGCCCCAAAAATTGGCCTTGTTTGAACGTTAATTTATACTTTAACATGGACTCCCTCACTTCCATGCCAGTTGCTCTCCCTTACTGTGGTGTGTCAATGGAAGTCTTCACCATAAATTGGAAATGAAACAAGAATTTGGACAAAACATGGACAACAGTGGCAGTTCCAGGAAATATTCACAGGCTTGTGCACTGGGGGTGGCCGAAAACTAAAGGGCACCGAAACCAGTTCAGGGTCAACCTCTAATAATCCCAATGAACTTACATCTATATTTTCCAAATAAATCACTGAAGACCGATCAGACTGTCATGAAACTCTTGCTGAAGAACTTACTAACATATTTAAACATTGGTGCTGTTTAGAGCTGCAACAACGAATCGATAAAATCGATAAAAATCTATTTTTAAAAGCGTTGGCAACGAATTTCATCATCGATTAGTTGTGTCGCATGATTAATGCGTCATCCGCCGCCGCCGTCATCACATCCACTTGACTGAAATGGGGGAAGCCAATCATCCTGCTGATAGATGAAT